CGGGCGGTTGACTTCGCGTCCGTTTCAAGCCGGAGCAATCGATGCCATGTCAATTCTTGTGTTGGGGGTGCTCAGATCGAGTTTCTCCTCGAGGCGGTGCTGGGGGGGGGGAGGGCGCACAACAGAAAATAACCAGGTGTGGCGCATGACAACTAGCTGACACAACACGACCACACGCCCACAAAATACAATGTTTATGTCATCCCACGCCAACACCACCAACCAACCTTAGCGCCGATGGCGTCGTGTACGTCGTGCGCGAAGTCTAGGACCAGGAATCCCTGCAAAAGGTAACGTAAAATCGCCAAATCACGAGCACACAACAAAAACGAACAAGCGAAGGCCAGGGAGGGGGGTCAAGGAAGGTAGGCGGTGGGGGGGGGGGGGGGGGTCGACGAGACGTTTGTCATACAGTCATCAGCAGCAACTGCTGTGGACACATACAACAGGAGACCATTGGAACCCTGACGTACGGCAGCACCGCATGGTTATCTAAACATTGGAACCCTGACGTATGGCAGCACCCGCATGGTTGTCGAACAATTGCCTTACCGCGTCAAACTGGTCACAAGGCGACAATTGTAACAGCGAGGGATAGCTAAGTTATGGCGTTAAAGGCAGTGGGATGCCCAAGCCACAACAACGAAGTAGCCTGACTCGACTCTGCACCGTACCTGGAAAAGCATCCACACGAGAGACAGTACTCTCGCAACCTCCGCGTAGACGCCAAACAAGGCAGGGTCCGGAAGGAAAAGCATGCCACCCACGCCTCCAGCCACAGCCAAAAACTTGAGAGGCCAGAGGCTGTTTGTTTTAACAGGGAGTTTTCCCGTGTTATTTTTTTTCATCAGTACAACGGCGATGTCGCCCAGTGCAGACAGCAGGAGAGAGGGGGGCGGATTGGAAGGTGAGGCAGGTGAAGGGTCTTGGTTGACTGAAAGTGTAATAGCACTATCGAGAAGCCACCTGCTATGGATACACAAACGGTATATGTCATATACCACGCGGCATCATTTGAGTACATCCCGCTGCTGCTGTGCCGGATTCAAGAAGCAAATTTACACGGGGCACGCTCCGGACAGTACCGAATCAGATCAATACGCCACAGGGAGACAGCAGTTGTAATGGAGCGGCCAACTTGGAAGCTGCACTGGACTTCCCCCGTCGGGTTGGAGTTGCGGCAGTACAGCAGTATCACGGTGGTACTGCGAACTGCACTCACTTGGCGTAGATGTAGTGCACCGCTCCTCCGGCCGTGGCCATGAGGACGAAGTACAGGAACAGCACCGAGGAGGCGCGGTACACCACCTTGCAGTACACGCGCAAAGAAATACAGCAGCAGCAGCAGCACAAGCAGCAGCAGCAGCGATGATGCGACGACGAGGAGGTCATTCGGTGCCATAACTGTAGAGCGGCGTCAGTGGCTCCACCGCTAGTGTCAGCAAGTGTATCTCGCGAGAAGGTTTAATAAGAGGGATCAATCAGCTTTTGACCGACGAGGCAGTAGGAGCTACAACGTGGTACACGATACAATGCCCCCTCAAGATCAGCGACATGAGTCAAAACAGTAGGAGAGCTATTTGCCGTGTCCACATGACCTCCCCAAGAACGAAAATCACAAACCACGAAAGACACAAAAACAACAAAACTGAACACCCTCACTCTGTTGTGCGATTTTTCACGTCTTGGCGCCGAAAAACAAATAAGAAGCCTTCATTATTGCCTGTACATTTGATCTTGCAGCGGCTGCATTAGCAACGTTTGGCTGTGACGCAAAGTTCGATTTCACAGGCGGAATACATGGTACATGGCACGGGTGCCGACTGTACCATGGTCGGAAACGTGGGAGCTATGGTGACCTCAGGACACAGACCTGAGCCCCTTGGCAGGAATGCAGGAAATCATCGTTACACCCACTCCTCAGGTCGACGCTTTTGAGTTGACCTACAAACAGGTTGACAAAGGAGCGGTAGTATTTAAGCAAGTAGCAGCAGCAGCAGCAGCAGCAGCAGCAGCAGCAGCGGAGAAGCAGCGGAGAAGCAGCGGCCATGGCAGCAGACACAACACACAACCCCGAGAAGTCACACGAGCAAAGAGGAGACAGGAAGACGGAGAGAATAAGAGCACGGTCGATGACGTCAAGGTCTTGAGGACGAAGCTTGTTCGGGATAAGTTACCATGACCAGTGGCGAAGCTTTAGGCCTACACATGCTCTACTCACCGAGGCGGTGAGAAACAGAGGCTGTTGCAACAACGGCACACGGTCGACAACGCTATCGTCTTGAGGATGCTTGTTCGGGATGACTTGCCCATATGGGCCAATGGCGAAGCTTTAGGCCTACACATGCTCTACTCACCGAGACGGTGAGAAACAGAGGCTGTGGCAACAACAGCACGGTCGACAACGCTATCGTCTTGAGGATGCTTGTTTGGGATGACTTGCCCATCTGGGCCAGTGGCGAAGCTTCAGGCCTACAAGCTCTCTACTCACCGTAAGCATGCGCTTGATTCAGCTTGTCGAGGAAGAAGGGGAGACCCATCACGTGAGCGGCGGCGAGCATGGTCACCGCGAGAGTGGTGTGCCCGACCCGCGGAGCCTTGAACGATCGAGGAAGGACGGCCTGAGTGAACCCACGACAAACGAGCGCACACATACCATACATACACGAAAAAAATAATTGAACACAGAGGAGAGAGACGGGAGCCAAGGTGAAAAAAGGCGAGACGAAAGACGAATATGTATTTCGAGGATACATTCGGGTGTTCGTGAAGCCAGTACATATCCAGCAAGTCGCCTCAACTGCTGTTAGAGATGGATTACTATCTGCAGAAGGTGTTTTCTTCGACGTAACGCATGCGCACCACTGGTACAAACGTACTTTTTGTGTTTTGAACCGTCTCTAAAAATGCTAAGACATGTACCGTACAGTAGTCAAAGACTGCCATACGCTGTATGCATTCAATTGTAGACGTCGTGACATCTGTACTTGTAGACTCCTAAAGGTCGGACAAGGTATGTGTTTAGCATACCACACCCCCGACTATCCAGTCTCGATTGGTGCAGCAAAACAGCCGTGACAGATTTAAAAAAGGGCGGCGCTGGAACCGTCTCGTCGAAGGTTCCCAAACACCCATCATTTTTTTATTTTTCTTAATATGACACAACGAAACCATCTCTATCATAGAAAAAAGTCTTCGACAGATTAGCAATGGATTCATAGCGTCAGAAAGTACCTGTATGTCTACGATTTCCCAGAAAGCATATAGGGACATCTCCCCTGCGGGTAACAGGCTCAACAAGACAGTTTGGTAGCTGTCTTGTGTGCCTCATATATGTTATGTTGGGAAGGTGCAGAGGATATGTGTTAGGAACTGGTCGGGCGTACATACGGCACCCTTTTTTAGTCGTAGGGCATGCAATCTCCCTCAGTTTACAAACGTATTTTCAATGTGGTACGCGTATGTACCCATCATTTTCTTTCTGGCGTCCTCTTCGTCGTGGAGTATTCCAGCTGTGAAGGCCGGTCCAGGGGATGCGGTATCATACGCGAATCTGCGACAATCGGCTTACATATGTATCGTCCTGTCAACGAGGACGAAACGACACCCACACTCCCAAAAGTTTCGCCGTCTACATGCACTTCAGCAAATGAGAGACGGAATCATATGTTCAATGCTCAACAGCAGCTGGTCACTATCCGGCCGTAGAGCCTGTAACGTTGCGCGTCTTCTCTACCTCTACCGTTTGATCTCGAAGACTCTCTCTCTTGCGGAGGTGCCGCCGCGCGGGACACGGATGATGATGTTTCGGGTCTCGCGGCGACCGGTGCATAAGGCGAGAGACTGCTGTCGCATAGACATGCCTAAAAACAAAATTACAAACAGCAGTGTTTTACATTACATGTGCGTGTTGTAGCGAGCCAAATGTTGAGGCACGTTGTGGCCAAGCGGTGGTGTGTCACAAAGGAAGGGGTGGTGTGTCACGCGTCAACCTCCCCGCCGCCTTCAACCACCACGCTGTACGCTGAATCGGTTCGACACGTTATTAATACCGGTACATTGTAGCAGATTCTAGCAGTGTGTGTTTCCATCCTTCTTCGAGCTCGCTCACCTTTACCACGGTGAACACCATGTACGCCAGCAAGATACCACCCTGAAGAAGGCTAAGCGCGAGACCCATGGTAGCTAGCGATTGCCGCCGTAGCGTAGCAGAGTAGAGTTGTGTTATGTGTCGGGGGGTGTCAATCATGGGGAGCCTCTGAAGCGGATAAATACCAGATACGTGCAAAACTGAAAATATTCTGCGGAGCCCCTATTGCGTTGTTTGTTCGCGCGGTTGATTATTAGTGTTTTGGGGTCTCTGCCCCCTCCTGCTGCTGTACACGCACCCGCCCTGCGCTAGGTAGCAACGCCATGACGTCTTTCTCGAGTATTTCTTCGGTCGATGGCTGCAACCGAATAACGGCATCTTACAGCGATGGAGGAGGATCGCCGTCGTCGATAATTCTTGCTTCGTCTCCGGCAACGAGAGCGAGGTCGATAGTGTCACGCCTGCGAGCGGCCGGGGTTGGGGAGAAGAAGGCGCAGTACACCGTAGGCGTGGCGATCGTGCTCGGAGTATCCTTGGTCGGAGCGCTCGCGTTCGCTTACTCTCGTCCGGCGGACAACAAGTGGTGAGTGACGTTTTTTTGCTTCGAGTCTGCCGGGTGTCGTGGAATATATCCTTGATAGTGCACCCGAAAATCTCGTTTTTGTTCATCGTGGCACTCGCTTTTCTCACTTCTTGTACATGGGGCTCCGAGAGTTTTTCCTAAATTTGCACGCACCACGCGCCCCCGAAGAGGGAGATCATCTGTGGTGTTTGTCGCTCTGAGCCAAAGCAGTGCGTGTTCGTGTGCGTCGTGGTCGTTCAGTGGACAATGCTTGTTGGGTGTTGGCGATCGTCTGCGCTGCTACGCTGCTGCGGTACCGTATTTATTTTAGTCGCCGTCGATCGCCCTTGTTTGTTTTATTTCCAGATTTCCGAACATGCCGTTATTCTCCACAAGCAAGCAGAGTCGCTGTTCTCTTCTCAGCAGATGGGGTGTAAGCAGCATGTCGCCGTAGGGTATTTTGCCGTTTGAATCCCTGCTGCAGCATCTGTAGTTTGGTCGCAGTCATGCAGGGGGAGGCTACACAACGTAAATTTTCTGCAAAATGCCTCTCAGCAAAAAGTCGACCATCATCCCGAGCCAGTCTTGATCGGCTTTTCGCATGTAACGCTAGAGCTCTTTTTTGTCGACAGATCGTAGCCTGTGTTTATTCTTTAATTACCACAGCTAAAGGTGGCACATTACCACAGCTAAACGTGGCACATGGCAATTCGTGCCCGGAAGGTTCGTTATGAAGAGGCAGAGTCGGCAGCTTTTTTTTTAAGAGTAAAATGTGGGTGTGTTTTATTTCGGTGTGTTGATTTTCTTTGTTTCCAATCTTGTTTAGAATTTTGAATAAATGCGTACGGATACGATGAGCTGCGGCCCTGGGATCAAACTGGTTTGAATTTGACGTCGGAGTAAAAAGAGCCCGATGTTTATCAACCGTTACAGCGTAGTTGTCTATTTATGCATACATCAGATTCCATGCAACGCCAAAACGACTCCTTGCGCCCCCCATTGGTTGTTTTTTTTTCCTTCTCGGAAAGACCGAATAGATACACGCAAGAGGCTCGCTGCTGTGCTACCTCTTTCCGAACTACACAAGCATCACGAGGTTGAGTAATAATAACCCCCCCCCAACACACACATAACAGGGAGACAATTTTGAGCGCCACCTTGGGGAAGAAACAATTGTCCTCATCGGTGGTCGGCCCTGGCTCCGTCCTCTCGAGGACTCGTCGTCAACGAACTTACGCACAATGAACATGAGTACGCCCCCCCCGCCTCGCACACACAGGAGGAAGCTCATTTTCGGCCAGGAGATCACCACCCTCGGCAGCTCGCTGGACGCCGCTGCCGAGGCCGGCATGCGAGCCATGGCCAACGACCGCGCGCTCAAGCACCTGGGACACAGGGAGCTCAACCTTGGCAGCCTACCGCCGGGCGCCAAGATCGTCAACCTGCCGAACCAGGTAACTGCGGTGGCGGGGGGGGAGGGGGGGGGGAAGGGGCGTACTCTTGTGTTTTGCATGCCTGAGTGGTTAAACCATTGGCCACGCGTCGTCCTCGAGAGGACGGAGCATTCTTCCCACGGGACCGATCACCGATGGCCAATCTTTCCTTCCTACTTCGCCAAAGGTGACTCAAACACAGCGGTGGTGGGGGGCGTCAATGTGGCCGGTGGATTAGCGCCGGTGGCCCTATGTCTACTAGCGCCGGTGAAATTGCTGGGCACAGACTGAATCACCACGTGATTCTGTACATTGAATAGCGCCGACCCCTCTGAATACATAATCACCGGTCGATGCGCCGGGCACATACCGGCTTTATTGAGGGCCCTCCACTACTGTAGGACTGAGACCCTTTTCAGGATGGCCTTCGGCAGGGTTATTGATCTATGAAAAAGAGAGGGCGGTTTCGTATCCCTTTATCTAGCCCTAACCCTAACCCCGTACCCCCTGCTAAAACCAAGCTTGCTATCCTCGCGAAGGGTAGTGCCTTTTCAGGGAGCACGGCTGTTGCAGACCCCGCCTTGTGTGTGTTGATTGGATGTTGTGTGTGTTATTTTTTTATGTAGGTTTTGGTTGGACACGGAAGAATATTCAACGAAGTGACCGACGAACCCATGATGACTTGATTGATGATAATGTTGGATAGTTCTGGTCTGGATGTCTGGATCAAGACTTGCAGGCAGAGGGCAGACCATATACTATGCACGATAAAAATTCTGACTGCTTTTTTTTTTTTTTCGTGTGTGCGCCGAAAACGCTTGCGGGGCTTTTTAGGTCGGAGGGCACAAGACGATGAAGTCGGTGCCGGCACTGCTGCTGCTGGAGTGGGAGGGCAAGGGCAAGGGCGGCGGCTCTGCCCGCTTCGTGCTCAAGATCTTGCACGACGGCGGGAGGGGGCTGGTGGAGCTCGGCTTCTACGAAAACCTCGCCAGACACGCCGAAGGGCCTGGGGCTCAGGGCAAGGTATGTACGTTTTGGTTGGTGTTGTCGTTGTTGTACGAAGTGGGAGAAGAGGCGAAAGTTATGATGAAGAAGGCGTCCGCATTTCAACGTGTGTGCGTGTGAACCAGCAACGAATACGCATTCGTTCCCGATGATACAGGGTCATTTTCTTCATCGCGAGCTCCTTCGGTACCTCGGTGCATGCATGTCTGAAACTACACAACAACAGCAGCAGACTGGTAGGTGGAAGAAATACAGCAGTTAAAATAGTCAACCCTTGTAGCCAGGGATGAGTTTCTACTTTTTCCGCCCTGTACGATCTCTCTACCCAGTACCTTGATCTTCCCGTGCTGACCGAACACTTGACCGGTCGGTTCCCGTGGTCACGGGCTACGCAACTTACCCTAATAAGGTTTACACAAATATAGTGGACCCGAAGGGCCCGCAAGCCAAACGAAATCAACGACAGATAGGTAGATAGATAAGCGTACGCGTGTCTTTCGGGGGTCGACAAAAGCCATAGTGGACGTTTTGTGTGTTTTGGCAGACGAGGGAGAGCGCAACAGCGGGTAGCCAGCGAGCCGTGGTGTTGTTCGTGGTAGTTTCTTGGTGTGGTACCACATGTCGACCCATCTGTATCAGGCGCTGCTTTGGATCGACGGGTACAGGCAGGTCGGTATCGTTGCTGCCGCGGTGTATGTAAGAGTAATGAACACACCGTGAACGAATAGGGCAAGTATCACAGCAGCTGCTGCATTGCAGTGAGTCTCTCGGCAAACCTGCTGCGCTTAGCCCCGATCCAACTCTCGGCCTGCTTTGTGTGGCCCCTCTCGTCTGCAAGACCTCGCAGACTATTCTAGTCACCCCAAACCAGTGCCCACGCTTGACAACACACGAGACATGCTATTTTCTATTTTCCCTCCCTCGCGACTTGGCTTGTGTTCAGCAGAAGCTCTCACCTCCCAAGTCAGCACCCAGCAACACCCTGACTCCTAGATTTCCCACCCCTCTCATACCCTCCCCTCCGTGCTGACATAGTAGGGATACGACATCAATGGTCTAACGACGACTGCACCCGTTTACATGAGTACCCCCCCATGCCTGATGCCTGGTCCGGTGAGAACCCGGCGTGCTCCGTCCCGGCTTTGTAGGGATGCGAGGTCAATGGTCTAACGACTACGGCATGCACGACTATGAGTACCCCCCCCCCCCCCCCCCCCATGTCTACCCAGGAGCCCGAGCGCACGGAGCTGGCGAGCTTCCTGTGCCCCTACTTCGGCGCGGTGAAGGTTCGGACGGACGGGCACACGGAGGACGACGGGGAGGTGATCGAGCCCACTTGCATGCACTTCCTCATCCTGGAGGACCTGTGCAGCGGGCTGGACAACCCGTGCGCGCTGGACGTGAAGATGGGGAGGGTCACGGTGGAGCCGGGGGAGCGGGAGGTGAGACAAGCGGAGGGGGGGGTAGCGTAAGAGTTTGCTCTTTTGTTGCGTACTGTACCCGTCAAGTGTTGGATCAGTACGGACAGAAGAAGGTACTGGGTAGAGAGAACGGAATGGTTTTTAATGTGGAAGATAACAACGACAACAACAATTACGTGGAGCGTAAGTGGTCAGCGTGCTGCTGGCGCAGCTGTCGGGGATTGAGCGGAAGGCGGAGGGAGGGAGGGAGGGAGACAGAGAAACAGACAGAGAGATTCAACATGTAGTACAAAGCGAAGCGGTATTAGTGGTATCACGAGTGGTGGTGGAGGATAGTTGTTGGACTCTTGTCTTGCTTCGTTTCGTCTCGAAAAGTGAAACGGTTTCGAAATGGTCCCGTGGAGTCAAAAGAACTCAGAACATATATTTCGAGCAGGTCGCCTCTCGTTTTTTTTTGTCGCTTGGGCGATGAAACTCGCTTACACGTGCTGCCCCGGAATCACACCAATCCCGAGCCGAACAAAGCCTTGACCGTACACACAAGAAACGAAGGAACCGAATGTCCCTTCGCTGAAAAATCTTTTGAGCAGGAGAAGAAAATCGGGCAGCTAAGGAAGTACCCTAACCAGCCGATGGTGGGCTTCCGTTACGTGGGCATGAGCTGGTCGAGCTTCTTCGAGGGCGACCAGGTGCCGGAGAAGATCTCGCAGAGCAAGAAGTGGGGGGCGGGGATGGCGGTGGAGGACACAGGGGGGGGTCTTGCCCGGTGAGCGTTGTCGTTGTTGTTGTTGTTGTTCTTGGTGTTGTTGTTGTTGTTGGTTTTTGGCTTAGTCGTCATTGTCATCTTCATTGTTGCAGTTGTGTTCGTGATTACTGCTGTTGACTTTGTTGTTGTTGTTGTTGTTGTTGTTGACTTTATCGTCGTTGTCATCTTCATCGTAGTTGTTGCTGTCTTGGTTGCGTGCCCCCCATCGGGGTTGGCCCTCTCTCGAATCAGAAATGTGCCGGTCATCGGAAGAGTACCCCCCTCCTCCTATCCCACGCGTCTGTTTAGTTCAGCCAACGTGTTCCCGTTGGGCGAAACCCTCCCATGGTTCGTTCTGGCCCTGTAAGGGGTGCGGTAAACTACTGTACGTCACCATAACTTGAGGCCGCAGATGCGAATGTAAGATCGACCCCCCCTCCCTGCTGGTCTAACAACCAAGGCATGCGAAAAGCCTCTCGAGGACGCATGATCAATGTTCTATAACCGCGAAGGCATGAAAAACATGAGTACGCCCCACAAAGTGAGTTGCAAGGGCGGGAAGTGGTAAGGTTTGCAAAAACATTGGCTAATACCCCCCGCCTACGCGACGAACAGATTCTTCTACGATGGTACGCGCCTCCGTCGGGGGCGCGTGAAGTGCGCCCTCCGCAAGATCCGTGCGGTGAGAGATTTCTTCGCCCGGCAAAAGATCTTCAAGTTCTACGCGAGCTCTCTCCTTCTGACGTACGACTCAGCAGACCCGACCCTTCCGGGGGACGTGGAGGAAGAGGTGGGTGTGAAATTGCGGGTTGGTTTAATATCTCTTTCTTTTTTTTCGTGTATTTTACGGTTCTTTTTTGGGGGGTCCTCGGTTGGGGATAGTTAGTGCACTATGGTACTTTTTTTTTTTTAATCGATTGGAGATTTCTCTCTTTTTCGCGATGTAGACTCTGCATGTTTGTCAGGGGGAGGGGGGGAAGGTTAACTGTGTTTTTTGTGCGTGAAAACTGGCGTAGGGTTCCCGTCTTGCCTCCATGTTTCCTTGCTTCTTTCGTTTTTGTAAACGTTGACACGAGCCACTTTTGGCACACACGGAGATCACGGAGATACACCGCGCCCGTGAAAATATGATTCGTTTAAACGGTCTTGTTTGCCTCGCCGCCCTACTACTGCTGCCAGGTGGCGGTGTGCATGATCGACTTCGCGCATGCCGTTCCGGTAGACGGAGACGGCGAGTTAGGGGAGGGCCCCGCGGAGGCTCCGGGAGACAAGGGGTACCTATACGGGGCGGAGAACGTGAGTTGTGTGCCGTGACCCGTGAGGTAGATAAGGCAGACAAGACACATGGCTTGGACGAAATAGAATACGCGTTTGCCTTTGTTTATCCCGCTGCAAGACTGACGTATTTTCATTGGTCAGCCGGTTAGCGCGGTCGATGCTAGTAAAAAAACACACACAACTCCCTTTTGATTAGAAAGCGTGTTTGAGTGTTTCTATCCCGCTGCAAGACTGACATCTCTTCATCGGTCAGACGTTTATTGCGCGGTCGATGCTACACATGGACTTTTCGCCAGGGGTTGGGACGACCTGGGGTTATCAAGTAATTCTTGTTCTGTCCATCTGTTCGCCTTGTTTCATCCTACAATTGTGCACCCATTTCTTTTGGCTGCATACCTGCATAGCTATGGGATGATTTTTCTACGCTTTTTCCCTCGCCGTTCATCCGTCCATCCCGAGGTTAATTTTCCTTGCCCACAAGCCCCCCCCCCCCGTCGGACCCTGTTTTTTTTCCTACCTGGGCCCGTAAACTCCTCGCCCCCATCTTGTCCCATGTCGTGTCCTACTACTGTTCATTTAGAGGTCAACCACCACTTTCCAACCTTTCCTTGCAATCCATGAGTTGATCGATCGCATCACCGTTGTGCTTCCTTCCCTCCGGCCGATGCGGTTGGCGGCGTGTCGTACGTGTCATGCGAGCAGCTTGTCGGCATCATGGAGGAGCTCCTGGAGGTGACGGCCGAGGAGCCCGACGCGCCGATGGAGCTCTCGGCGATCTCGGCGAAGCTGGAGTTCATGACCAACCTCAAGAAGAACTACGTCGCTGACGCCTGAGCCGTTGACGCGCGCCTGATGAGAATGTCTAAATTGCTGTGTAGGCTTTCCATCAATTTTCCGCCGTGTTTTCCAGCGATTTTTTTTTTTTTCTGGGGGGGAATATCGCACGAGGCGCATTTGGCCGACTCGAAACGGACCGCCAACATGGGCGCCGCTGTTCTGGTACATAGGATGCCCACAACACTTTACGGAGTTCTTGAATGTATCTCGATGTGTTGTGTCTGTGTTTCTCACGGTTGTGACATATAATAGCACACACGATGTTGTTGGCGATTGGGAGGGAAAAATTGTCTGCTTTTGCATCTCTGAGGAGCGAGCGGGGACACGTCTCTTTCCTCCATGTTTTTTACGATTTTTCGAGAGTTTTTTGTGTTTTGTTCGGGGTCTTCATGTCCAAATGCTTACCGGTTTAGTCCCCGCTGATGAAAGTCGTGCGCGCTTCGCCGCGTTTGTAGGCGAACATAGATCTTTGCCGAGTGAAACAGCAGTAGGTACGTTTTTTATTTTTTACGAATATTGCGAAATGTGGCTCATGAAAGGAACTTTTGCTTCCTCCTCTCGGATGCCCGCATCTTCCAGGCCGGCTGGGGCTTCCCGAGCCGTACAGTCACGGGCCCAAGGTTAATAAATACATATATTTTTATCAAGAAACAGCGGCTCGCGTTTTCACGAAAAATGTGAATAATGGGTTATAACACACACACCTAAGCGACGGACCCTTCCACTAAAGTATACTCCTTAGTACTTCGTAGGAGTACAGTATGTAACAACCTGACCGTGGCGACGAAGTAAGAAAGTTAGCCTCGACCCGATTGGGACGCTTATTATCTCCGGGCCAGTACTGGTGCTGTAGGCGCCGCCGCTGCATGTTGGCTTTTTTCGCGCGTGGTCTTTTGTGGTGCATGTAGGGCTGACAGGTCGTACCGTGTGTGGCGGTATTCCCGTGACAACTGAGGTCCACGCCTGGTACATGGGTGCCAGCCGCTTGTATACCGCCCGGTGGCTTGCGTCTTCTTGCCTTCAGTCACATTTTTTTTTTATGTTTGTTTGTGTGTCGCCCATACATAGTAGTATTGTCGATGCTGCCAACGCTAAGATAAAGTCAGAATCTAGGGGCGTCTTTCACCTGTGGGGAATGACTTGGATCTTCCGTTCAGATCGATGTGACCCCCTTTTGACGAAAAACCTCTACATATCTGGAGCCACTAGATGGCGTATCAGGTCACCGCCTAGATAACCGGGGCGAGCGGTGTACGCTGTGCGTGGGTATAAAGTCCACGGATCCATTTTGAACTTTGGGGGGTTCGTTTTCGGTTGCGAACAAACAAAACTACTTGCGAACGTTCGCGTGACAGTGTTTACTGACAAGAAATGGAGAATGTCAACATGCACAACGGCATGTCACGTTCACAGGAGAAAAGAGCATTACATTGCCAACGCAGCCTTGCCTCAACCTAGCGTTCTAGTCTACATCAACCCTTTCAATGAGATTTGGATTTTGTTTTTGGGCGGTATCGTTGTCATGATGCTGGCTGGCGGGTGATTACACGGTGCTGTCATGATGAAAAGCGCTACATAGGCACGGGAAAGACGGCGATCGCCTACCAATATATTAAAGCATCAATACCCACGTCGCGATTGAAATGCCGTATGCAAACTTTCTTGTTGCAACCTCTTGAAAGAACAAGCAAGGCGATGCCGACTTACTACACGAACAAAATCCATACCACCACTAGTCTAAGTAAGGTATTTTATTCCGGCTGGCATCACGGCTTCCTGGGGGTTAGGGCCTACGTACCGTACGTGCAGCAACTCAGGACGACACTCAGCCAGCATCACAGTCGGACAACGTTTCAAAGGGGCACACCTTGCAGATCGCTCTGTGGGAGCTGCTAGCATGCGATAGGCAGTAGCCCAACAATCGCTTTGGTGGAGTACCGGGGCAAGTACGAGGCATGCGCACCCGTCACCCAGCAACGAGCCGGTCCTAATGGCCTATGCTGGTGAAGACGGTGGTACCCGTATCATCGTCGCCACGAGCATACGCCATGAAAACATGGTCGTTGGTGGGTGACGAGAATGAATGCGTCCGGCTTGTAATCATGGCGGTGCTCGGCCAAAAGGGTTTGTAGTACTACTGTCCAAAGCATGCCAGCAACTCCCGCAAAGCGCTCTGCACGTCTACCCCTTGACCACGTTGTTTACTTAATTGTGATGCTACGGCCAGAATGCGGGAAGTCTTGCCGTATGCCGAAGTCACGGCAGAAATTACGCCCTCGAAACATGAAAATACATGTTGTTTCCGTCTTTACAGTCACATTTCGTCCAACGTTACACACCGAACGGCGCTCGCTGTAACACCGACCAGTCTTAGACTAATGGGCAACTAGTCTTGTTCCTCGAGCAAATATAGGTTTTTGATTTTCCCCAGCGAAGCAAAGAATCGGGAAGTTCGCGCAGGGTTTGCACGGAAAGTTGTCTCGAAGGAGATGTTAATCTTGTGCCAAGCTACCGTATGGCGAAAACGTGATCCGGGTATGTTACATACAACGTACAGTAGACTCAATTGAAAGATTTTCGAGCCGGGATCTTGAACAAAAATCGGAAATCTTGTCTGGGCGAGAAGAATCCACACCTACCTGTTTGTCCCCTTGAAGAAGAGGTGGGTGGTCATCAGAGGTATCATGTGAGCGCTATACAACTTTCCGGAAGGCTGAAATGCTGATTCGGAATTGTTCGAGAGTCAGACCGCCCCAAACGTCGTAAAACAACAAGATTTGCAGAGGAGGAAGATTTAATTCCTGTTCCCATCAAGTCCGGTGTGATGAGGATCAATGGGTGCGGCATCCTCGCCATGAAGTATCTTCGCTGTATCAACGGTAAATTTAAATGGCCGTGTACTGAGAGACACTATAATAGCTTGTATACGAAAGAAGCGCAGAGCGACTCATAGCAGAAGCGCTTCACTGTCATCATTATCTTAACCCACTTGAAACCCGCATCGTAATAGTCAAAAGCACGTACGGGCTCTTCCACCACTCTGCCAATAATGGCCCAACCTTGGCCATTGGCACATGCGGCTTGTAAAGCCGGCACTTGATATCGAACTTCGCGGAGTCGTGTGCCACACGCGTACACATCTCTGGAACCGTGGGATATGGTGTATTCGATTTCTGTCCGCCACTCAGGGTTGTTTGTCCA